GGGGTGGGGGGGGGTTGACGGCTCGCGCATGCGCACAGTGCTTTGGAGGAAGGGTCCGCCGGGTCTGGTGCAGGCGCACAGCGCACGCCTGCTCCTCAGCCCTCTTCAGGACCCTCCCCCTTGCTCTGCCCGTGCAGGCTCGCTCTTTGATGGCCCCCGTTTTTCCTTCCTTGGCTTTTGTGTTGTTTTTTTTTTTTTTTTTTGCGGTACGCGGGCCTCTCACTGTTGTGGCCTCTCCCGTTGCGGAGCACAGGCTCCGGACGCGCAGGCTCAGCGGCCATGGCTCACGGGCCCAGCCGCTCCGCGGCACGTGGGGTCTTCCCGGACCGGGGCACGAACCCGCGTCCCCTGCGTCGGCAGGTGGACTCTCAAGCACTGCGCCACCAGGGAAGCCCCAGAACCTTGGCTTTTGAAAACAAGCGTTCCAATTCTCCCTGGGGGCCAGAGCCCCTGGGTTTCCAGTATCCAGACCCTCCTTGTCCGCTTCTTTCTGGAAGGGCCTCCAGGAAGATAAGATGCCTCGTTGATTTCTAAACCTCATGGACGGTGGTCTGTACGTGCCACCATCTGAGTCTTCCTGGCCGCGTCTAAGCCTGGGATCTGATGGCAGCTGGTCCTCACTCTGGTCCCATCCTCCCAGCGGGGAGAAAAGAGCCACGGCTGGATGTGCCTCTGAGGGCCCCCCGTGAGGTTCCCCGCGGGGATAAGAGGCCTATCCGGAGTCCGGCCTCGCCTCCCGCCAGGTGTGCCAGTGTCGCTTCGGGGAGCGCGTGGCCCTCCACCAGCCACCATTCTGTCCTCCCTTTCAGCTCGAGCCTCCGGTTCATGCGGCGGCCCCTGCGCTCCAGCCCAAGTCCCGTCGTCCTCAGGCAGCTGGAAGAAGCAGCCAAGGCTCGGGAAGCGGCCAACACGGTGGACATCACCCAGGTCATGAGCAAACTGGATCGCAGGAGCCAACTCCGAAGAGAGCTGCCTCCCCAATAAATCCACAGTTACTTATTTATTCCGGGGGGTGGGGGAGAGTCTAGAGGGCTCTGCGCCCCATTCAGGGGGCGGTGGGCCAGTCGGGTTCACCCCCGATTCCTCGGACCCCTGTCTTGGGCTTCCTCCTACCCCCCCCCCCCCCCCCCCCCCCCCCCCCCCCACCCCAGATCGCCAAGGGGCCGGGTGGGCACGGGGGAGGGGGGCTGCACCTGACTCCGTTGCTGTGACATCGCCTGTCTTACCCTCCGGAGTCCTTGGGGGTGAGAACCAGAGAGAAAAGCTGCCGCCATTGGCGAGAAGGGCGTGGTTAACTGCCCCCAGGGTGTCGTTCCGCATGTTTGTTTCCAGTAGCGTCCAGAAGCTCCTCCTCCCGTCTCTCCAATTTAGACTCTGACTCTAAAGCAGCCAGGGGCTGGCTGCAGGGCTCCCCTGTAGATGCCCTTTCCTGGGGCCCCTCTGTCACACCTGCTTGGAGAAAGCTCTGCTGAGACACTTCTTTTGAGCTTTTGTTCTTAGTCCTAAGTTTTGAGGGTTGGTGGGCTCTCTCCTTCGCTTTTGCCACCCCATCCCCCTTTTACATGACGCCAGGGGAATTAGTAGCTTGTGGGAATGAAGGACTTAGGCCAGAGGCCTCCAGAGAAGTCCAGGTAAAATGGAGCATCTTTTTGGTTAAAGGACGAAGGTGCCGATGTCTTCATTCATGGGAGGAGGGACGGTTGGAGGTCTGTGACATTTTCAAAATGAGTCAGGGTCAAAGATAGTACTCTTTGGGATATTATCTAGATGTTGGTGCTTCCCTCCTCCATAGCTTTAGATTAGGCCAGCCTGTGGTCAGGGGTGGGGGGTGGGGTGGTCAGGACAGTTCCACCTCTGACCTTGGAGGCCTAAAGGTAATTCTTGAAGTTGGGTTTGCTCCTGTACACCTGTGTAAGAATGCAAAAGAGATAAAGCAAGTGGATGAGCAGGTACCGACCTTCTACATCAAAAAGAGTCACTCAGCAAATTAACTGAGCACCTCTTATGTGCCAGGCATTGGTGAATAAAATAGACATGTTCCCTGCCTCGTGGAGCTTATAGTCCAGGACTGACAAAAAACATAAGGAAGCCAAGTGTATCAGGTAGCTGCTGCTGTGTAACAAACAAGCACACAACTAGAGTGGTATAGAAGAATAAGTGTTCATGGCTTATGCATATATAGGGTCATCTCTGTGGTTCTGTTGATCTTGTTGGGGCTCATTCCCACGCCTGGTGAGGGTTGATCTGTGGCAGCCTAGGCCGGGATGAGTTGAAGGATTCTGCTCACATGTTTCTTATCCTTCAACAGCCTGGCCTGGGCATGATCCTATGAGGATGGCAAAATTGCAGGGGAGTCGGTGGAAGCACGTAAGATTCTTGAGGTGAAGGCCTGGAACTGGTGCCTCATCTTAATAACCAAAGCAAGTCACAAATCCAGCCTAGAATCAAGGGCTAGGGAAATCGATTCTACCTCTTCAGTGAGAGAAATTTCAAAGTCTCCTGGCAAAAGACAGGGAGATGTGGAGGGCTGAGGAACTGAGGCCATCCTTGCAATCGGCAACTCAAACAAAGATATGATAAAACCCATAGAATGTGCTTTAATGCATACGGTGCTGTAGTAGGGAGGATGCGGCGTGTGTGGACTCAGGGGGTCTCTCTGAGGTGGCGGCGGATAAGCAGAGGATGAAAAAGATTTGGCCATACAAGGAGTGCAGGTGAGGCAGGAAGAACTTTCCAGGCAGAGGGAGCTGCATGAGCAAAGCCCCAGAGGTGGGAAATGGCTCAGACTGAAAGGCCAGAGGAAAAGAGCCTGGTAGACAAAGGGGCAGTGGTACAAGATGAGGTCCAAGAGGTGGGCAGGGCAGGCCATCGAGGGCTTTCCAGGCCACTGTAAGAGGTTTGTGGCTCTTGGTTTCATGTTAGCAAAGGGATTCTATTACTCTCCCCGTCTTCCCCATCATAGACTAGTTTACACTCTGGAAGAGCAACTAGAGAGATGCTTTGTTCATCTCTCTTTTGAAGAATGTTGGAGTCCTCCAACTCAGGGGGAGCGCCTCAAGCAGAAATTTCAGGTGATGAACCACTGTAAACTGAGTGACATGAGGGAAGGGACCGTATCTCACTCACTATTTGGAATTTGATGCTTTATATCTAGTGAATTCTGCATAAACATATTACATGGATGGATGGATGGATGGGTGGGTGGGTGGAAAGAGCCCTGGGTTTGGAGAAGGCCTCTTAGGCTCTTGTCCTCATTCTGTCGCTAGCCATGTGGTCTTGAGCAAGTCACTTCACCTCTCTGCTTCATGATTTTTGAAATGAGGGGTTGGGACCAGATCCATATTTCTCAAACCAGACTCAGTGAATTCCGGGAGCATACCCAGCCTGGGCCATCAATTTTACTTGAAGATTTGCAATGGGAGGGAGGTTAGATAATTTTTTAAATTTCACATTAAAATAATCATGAATATATTACGAATTAGACTGCAAGATGTACATGAATTTTTTTAAGATAAAAGCTGAGACATCAAAGATATCTCATGCCTGGCTGTGGCAGATTCAGGCTTTTGCCCTCAGACTCCTGGGAGAGCATGGTTGCCCAGTTCTCCTGCTGGCTGGCCTACTTCTGTGGGAAAGTTTGAGAAGCACGGAACTGGAGGTATTTGCCCTCCATCCTAGTTACCCCTGTATGAGCTGAGGTTACACACCTAGCCAAACGGTGGTAGGGTGGTGGGAGAGTTGAAATGCACCTTGAATTCTTCAGGACACAGAGTGTGTCTTGTTCACCTTTGACTCAACGATTCACCAGCCCACTCCTCACTCATGAGACGTGTCTGCTTCATGTGCCTGTCATCCTCCTGCAGAGTACCCAGTGCTCTGTGTCAGACGCATAGTAGGTGTGGCACACGCAGTGATGGAAACCTTCTCAGTGTCAGACACACAAGAATCCCCTATCAAAGGAGAGGCACAGACATGTCAACAAAGTAGGTTATCGTTCCTTATTGGACGGATGAGTGCTTCCACATTACCCTTCTGAAGGAAGGGAGATGACACATGGCTTCACTTCTGGATGCGTTCCACAAGTGTATTCTATATATTTTTTATTATTAAAGTATAGTGGGTTTACAATATTATATTAGTTTCAGGTGTACAACAGTGATTCAATATTTTTATAGATTATACTCCATTGAAACTTATTATAAAATGCTGGCTATATTCCCTGTGCTGTACATTACATCCTGCTATCATTTATTTTATACCTAGTAGTTTGTACCTCTTAATCTCCATCCACAAATGTATTTTAAGCACCTGTTTTGTGTGAGAGCCCATGGTGGGTGCTATGGCACAGATGCAAAAATGGACGAGGTGTTCTCTGCCCTCAAGGGGCTGACAAGGATACATGGAGGTGATATAGGCTGGGTGGTGTGCAACACACTAGCGGAGCACAGAGATGGGGGAGAATTGTCTGGCCTGGGGGGTCGAGGGGGATCCACCAGGAAATTCTCATGTTTGGTAGAAAGGAGCCCTACCCAGTTTTGAGGTTTCGGAAGTGTGTCTGCTTCTAGACTCCAGCCACCAGTATCTGCTCCTGCCAGCTTTGATGCACTAACAGTAGCCCCACAGGGTCCAATTGAATCTCAAATGGTGTAAAAATAGTATTTATTTGGACAATAATATTGATAACATTTAAATTACTATGATATTCTCTATTCTGCCACGTACTTAGGCACCATCTTAATTCCACTAATGCCATATTGTAAACAGCTTGAGTTTCTCTACCCATGTGGTGTATATCTGATGCTAGAATATAAGTTATGCCATAAGGTACCAGGATTCATTTTCAGGCTTGGCTTTTAGAGAAAAGACTGCTTTTGTTGTGAGGGTTGAGTGGAAATACAAGAGCTAGGGAGTGCTTAGGAAAATGCCTGGCATATAAGTGCTCTCAGTAAATGCTAGCTGCCGTGATCGTCATCACAGCCATCATTAATATTACCATCACCACCATCATCCCCATCATCCTTACCATCACCATCACCACCTGCATCATCACCATCGCCATCACCTTCACCATCATCACCATCATCATCATCATCACCACCATCACCATCATCATCACCACCATCACCATCACCACTATCATCACCATCATCACCACCATCACCATTACCATCACCACCACCACCGTCATCACCATCACCACCACCACCATCACCACCACCACCACCACCACCACCACCACCACCATCACCACCATCATCACCATCACCACCACCACCATCACCACCACCACCACCACCATTACCACCACCACCATCACCACCGCCACCGTCATCACCATCACCACCACCACCACCACCATTACCACCACGACCATCACCATCACCATCATCATCACCATCACCACCGTCATCACCATCACCACCACCACCATCACCACCATCATCACCATCACCACCACCATCATCACCATAATCATCGCCATCACCATCACCACCATCACCACCACCACCACCATCACCATCACCATCACCACCATCACCACCACCACCGTCATCACCATCACCACCACCACCATCACCACCGCCACCGTCATCACCATCACCACCACCACCGTCATCACCATCACCACCACCACCATCACCACCACCACCGTCATCACCATCACCACCACCACCATCATCACCATCACCACCACCACCATCACCATCACCATCATCATCACCATCACCACCGTCATCACCATCACCACCACCACCATCATCACCATCACCATCATCGCCATCACCACCACCACCATCACCACCACCACCAATCCCATCACTGTCGTCATTGTTGTCATCAGTATTGTCATCACCAACCCCAGTAGCTTCATGGTCTTAAAGTAAGCTTGTTCTCCCTTGCATTCGTCAGTGTTGCCCAGTACAGTGCTTCGTTATATTCTTTATTATTTGGGGAATTTCCTGAGGTGTATGTAAAGGCTTGTT